TGCAAAAATCCTAAAGTCTACGCCTAACACACGTCACCGTTTAGTATTTTCATGTGAGTAAGATGAAGTCTACGTATTCAATATCGTAGCACTAAGAGAGTTAACTCTCTTAGCACAACATTACATGCAGAACGGACTTAAACAATCTGTATGCTAGCCCGACTCAAACGGTGGTCGGTAAAGGCTCATCAAACCCATTGATGGCTAAGGGTTTGCTAAAAATCCTATATATGCGAAAGTCACTGACACGTCATCTTCATTAGTTGGTCTCATGACTTGAACATCCAACAACTTCGGATAAGATCCATATCTACAGATGATAATCACATTTTATTACAGTTTTATACCCTCATTATCTATTTTATATGAATAAATATACCACTAATAATTGTTTTTATCTTTAATTGCAGGTTAATGAAGAATAAATCTCAAAACTCTCATCTCTTAACAAAAACCCCTTGAAGAAATAAAGAAATGAAGCAAAACCCAATGGAGAATTAAGAATTGTCAAATTATCCAAAAGCCCAAAGCTAAAAAGAAGAAGAAATAATAAAGTCCAAAAGCCCAAGTCCAAGAATAAGAGAGATGCTCGGACAGCAACCAGGAAGAGGCACACATCGATGCTGGCATCGATACGACGAACAATCAGTTACAGATCTATGGCTGAAAATTGATGTTTTTGGATAAGATTTCGATCAAATAGCTCTTATTCATTGATGTTTACTATAAATAGGGGTAGAGAGTGAGGGGTTAGAGGTGTGACAAATTTTGTAACTCCATTTGGAGAGGATGGTTACTCTTAATTGAGAATGCCTTCCAAAAATTCTAAGTTTTGTTACAATTAATAATAATAATTTTTTCTCCCCTTTAAATTTGTCTTTTCTACTCTTTGTTGAATGATAAGGATGGAGATGAAGAGAAAATTGAAGGTTTGCATTTCTTTTCTCTTTTATTTCTTTTTAGTAATTTCTTTATTATTACTTATTAGTTAGATTTACATTCATGTTTGTAGTGTAGATTTATTTTCTTGTCTTTTTATTTATTTTTGCACTTTAATTTGTAGAGTAGATTTATTTTCTTGCATTTAATTTTTGTAATTTATTTTATATTTTAGATTTTAATTCTTTGTAGTTAGATTTATTTCTTGTTCATAGTTTAGATTTTTCTTTTTGTAATTAGTTATTTTTCTTCTTGCTTTTATTTCTTAAGATGTGAAATTAATTCTTGTAGGAATCTTAGAATTGCATGATGCTAGTCTAATTTCTTTTATATTATGCAAATTATTCTCTTACACTTAAAATATTCATGTTTAGGATAATCAACTAGAAAACTAATTGGTAGAAGAAGAATGTGATAATTTATACTTATCTTAAATGGTTTGATATGTTATGCTTATGAATTTTAGGATTACTATCTTGTTGTTGTTCTTATCATGAATAGTAATTTTTTACTTAGATGATAATTTGATAGGTTATACTTTCCTTAAATGGTTTGATTGTCTATGCTTAATAAATCTAAGTTGAATTATGATAAAAAAAGAATAGTTTGTATTTTATATTTGAGTTAGCTAGTGGATTAAATTCTAGATTTCTCATATCTTAATTGAATCATTCATCTTAACTTTCTTGAATTCTCTTTTTATTCTTGATTTTATTTCTTGATTTTATTCATTCTTCTTTCTTGCCTTGTGATTTTATTTATTCTTTAATTCTTTCTTCTTTCCTCTAAAATTCAATTTATTGTCTCTTGCATATATTCACAATAATCACTCATCACAATCATACTTATTCTTTAATCCTACTTTTGTCACGCACAAAACATAAGAACCATTTCTAATAATCTCTTAAAATCACATTCCTTGTGGGATCGATAACTTTTTATACTATAACTTGATCAATTGTGCACTTGCAATTTTGGTACATAATTATGCCGCATCAACAGACGAAACAACGTTAATAGTTGGTCCTGTAGCCCGAAATTTGGGACCTCCATGCTCAAATGTCTTAAAAGATTAAACTGTGTAGACTTCACCAAACGTATGAGTATAAACTGTGTTAACACCAGTCAACGCGTTACAACAAAGGCCAATGTCGAACAACGCGTTACAGTAAATATCGATGTCGGTCAATGCATCGATAATTTCGCCAAAATAAGGCTAAGAAAAAATTCCAGGTCAAAGGATGATTCTAGGGAGTTTAATCACATTCAGATACCAATTCCTGACAAAAATGATAAAGTCAATGTCAACTCAACGACACGAGCTAAGTTCATAAATTTACGTATCAACTTCAGTTCAAGATTTCGACAATGGTCAAACGATAACACAGTATTGGAAGAACTTCATCTATTCGATAAAATACTGAATAGACTGAAGGCTGAAGAAGTCAAGAATTGAGGCAATTCATAGGTCCTTTTATGCGATCTCCTCAACGAAATACTTAAGAGATTTAAGAGAGGGCTTGTGTTATCCAAAGCATTCCAGACTTTTCTATAAAAGAATGAGTCTGAAACACTTTGGAGGGGGTATCTGTAAGCATTTAAAAATACCTGTAGATGTTCGTACGCAGCTCAAGATGAAGAGAAGATGATGAACGTCATCATCCGAGTCAAGAAAGATTACCCGGGTAGCCCGCACGCTTGTTGATCAGTTCCAAGTGCCCGCCGCGTTTGTCGGTCAGCTCCAAGTGCTCGGCGTGCTTGACGGTTAGCTCCAAGTGTCGTAAAGAAGCAAACGAGCACATGCAACAAGTTAGCGAAGCATACAAGTCAACAGGATGATCAGATACATAAAACGGCAGAAAATACAAGTCCCGGAAAATCGCAAGGTGCCAAAGAGTTCAGCCAAGGCCAAATTTTCCCCGCCAACGCAGGATAGCCCGCTGACCTGTGCCAGCGCTCGTCAGCAGCAGCTGACCCGCGCTAGCGCGGGTCGGGCGCAGTTGATCCGTGCCCCCGTGGGTCAGTCACACTTACCCGCACCCCTCGCGGGTCAGCAGGACCTGCCGCACAGTCCTGAGCTCCAAACGCATTTTTGACGAGTCTTTTGCTGTTTTCTCAGGATTTGTTCATTCCTGAGTGTCTCAATTGATTGGATATCATCCACAAACATGGTTAGACCGTTATTAACTGAAGATAGAATCAAATCATTCAGTCTTATACAAATACCCCCATCCGGTGCCCTATAAATGCAAGCCCAGAGCCTCTATTCTGAGGGGGCAAATTATTATCAAGACGAGGAGGTACTTCCGAACTTCAGAGCCAAGAGCCACGAATTTCAGCAAGGGCTAGCGAGATCCCAGCGAACTTCGGCATAAAGAAGGAGTCTTTTGAAGGATCTGAAGCCTGTTTCCACCTTTCCTTAATATTAGGCTTGGTCTTAATCTCGAGAAGAGTATTGATTTCGCTTGGTCGATATCAGTACTTCAGCGAATACGTCCTTGATGAAGTAGAAGCTCTGATTAATCATTCTGTCAACCGAATCCGATCCGTAGGCGGTCCACGAATATCAACGTCCCCGGCACAGGCAAAGATCCCATACAAACAGAGACTAATAAATAGGATCTATGTGTTATTTGAAAGAGATTGTAATCAGTTATTTTTATTGTGTAAAAGTCTTATAAAAAGACTAACTTTTGTTGAGTTTATTGTAACGCCTGTAATAGATTCAATCACAATGAAGAAAACAATTTCTGACCCAAACACATATCTTTTTTTTTCCTTTTGGATTTTGTTTAGATATGCATATTGAAAAAAAAAATATTTATTAATCCATGAGTGTTATTTCTTCCTCAATTTCTTGCTTTATCAATGCTTTATCCATGAGTGTTATTTTTTTTTCCCTTTTCCCCATCAATCAACTTTGTCAAATAACCCATGAAATCCTATAGTATTACTGAATCTGTTTAAAGGGATGAAAAGAATGGTTGTATGCATGAGCGTTGATTCTGGTACATATACCCGTCCATGGAAACCAAATTTTATCCAATTATGGTGCGGTTGCACCAGAGTTGCAAATATTTCCTGAATTAAGTACTATTCCCTGATTTTCTAAAAACGAAATTGTGCGATTCGCGGGTATAGGGTTTTTTTTTTTTTTTACTCTGACTTTTGAAGATTTGGGATCGAATTCCAATTTCATATGGGGCATGCAAATAGCACAAGACTAAAATGATTAAGACCATGTTTGGATGCTGGAATCAAATAAGGTGGGAGAAAATGAAATTCCAAATTTTTAATAAGAGACTTCTATTCCAAGTTGAGTCTTGGATATTGATTGTAAGTAAATCTGGAGGCGTCGATCTTGTCCTGTAAGGTGCTAGTGACCCTGACCTCCACTGAGGAACATTTTGTTGGATGATATCAGCTCTGCTCCTTGTTTATCAGATTCCCTTTTTTTTTATTTTTAATACGGTTGATTGCTGTACCCTGAGAGGTTCTCCTCACCATCTTTGGGTTTTGTTTCATTATTTTTTCTTATTAACGTAAAAGCATATCTTTGGGTTTTATTTCATTTAAAATGTCAATTGTATAGCATCAAATGGCGACCTGCCGTCATCGGCACATTCATTTCACTGGTCGATGCAAAATTAAGTTCAGTTGGATCTGATTACAGCAAGTCATACTACATTAGAATTTCAATTATATGTTCTACTCGTAAGTGTTTTGACGCATTGGTGATTTGTCCACTAAAAGTACCACATATTTTTATCATCGTAAAAAACTTCTACCTTCTGCTGAAAACAGAGAGAATTTTCTTTCCTTAAAAATTTTTCCTCTCCTTCTCCAGGTTCCAAGTAGCCATCTGAATTAGTTTCTCCTGACCTTACCCATCTGGTTATCTTTTCTTTATTTTCCTTTTATTATATCAGAGTGATTTGGGAAAAAATTTCCATCGCGTTCACTGGTTTATGTTCAGGGGATTTTGCTGCTTATTGAAATAGTCTCCATAGGGTTGCTGCGAGTCTGTTCTCGATCGCAAAAAAAGAAAAGGAAAAAAAAAAGGCTCTGTGCATGCTACTTCTATTAACTATCGACAAATTCTCCCTCACCTTCTTTTTCAATTAATTTGATAATTGCATCTACAAACCCCACGCCAATTCTTCTACCGATTATTAACACTCGGCAAGTTCTTATCCTTGTGTTGTTGACCATGGCAAGCTTTCCTGAGCTCATTGAACCTCTCCATGTCAAAATTTTGCGTCTTCATGAGCCGCTTCTGCTTCGCAGAGAACCGACTCTCGAAGAACCCCTCAAAAGAAGGTTCCCTCGACGTCCTCAGAAAGAAGGCATAACTCGCCATGAAATACACGGAAGTGACGTAGAAACAGATGGGCTCCATCACATCCCACGACAACTCCCAGAAAGTCAGGCGCATGAATCCTGTTGTTTGCAGAAGCAGCAATCCCAGCCCACACCACAGCTCTCTCCTCACCAGCGCCTCTGCCTTTACATCTATCTCAGCTTTTTCCTCCTCCATTGCCCTGAGCTCGTCTACTCTTGGGTCGTTCTTGTTCTCCTTTGGAGTTGGTAGGGGCATCACGCTCTCGATTGCTCTTGCTACCTTCAAATTTGAAGAAAAAAATATTTAGCACATTCCATCTCTGGCAACCAAATTTGGCTTATCCTCTCGGGCTAAAACAGTCAAAACATTTTCACTCAGATGTCTATCTTCGATTGAGAAAGGGGCCTATCCTCAATTAACCCATTTAAAAAGGACACAGTTTATTAGCATTCAAATAATAATTTGGAGTTGCGACTAAAGATTAAGGGAAAAAATTATCACCTGGTCAGGGCGAAGAAAGACGACATTCCCCAAAACGATGACAGCACCCGAATCATCAAGAAGCTTGGCTACACTCATCCCCGGCTCAAAACCCCCACCAACATCGCTGCATATCCCTACGAACTCCGAGTAGGAAACCTGACTATTGGGTATCCCCCGCAGCCTCCTCCTCACGGCCTCCACCTGTGAAGCTCTGAGCACCTTCTTTGTATCCGTTATCGATATATAATTCACCCCCTCTCTCAGGTCCTCTCCCTTCGACGTCGACGCTTGGATTCTGTTCACAAGCTTGTCACCTGCCGGAAGATATGGATAGAGCCCTCGAAGAAATCCTCTGTGTTCTTCGCTACCGTTAGACTCGTTGTTGATGAAGGGAGGAAAAGTCATTGTGGTGGTGGTTCGAGAAGAGAAAGAGAAGGATGATTTGGCCATGTTGAAGAAGCGATTAGTTATGGTTTTTCTGTAGGCCATGATGATGAAGGTGATGCCTTAGTCTGCGTTTCGATGGAAGGGCATACCGAGATTATGAGGTGCAGGGGTTTTTATAGGAGGGAGAAAATATCTATGGGAGCGTGTATGTCGTGATTGCGTCAGAAGGAATTTTGGCGCATCTTAAGACCAGCCGAGGATTGGGACGGTAAGTGCCTTAACCAAATACTACCTCCAATTCAATTTGTTTTGGAAACCTTTGGGGGCTTCAAGTCCAAGTGGCAACTGAGTTTGGGCGGTTTGACTCAAGAGGATAGGTTTGGGTTAGCTCCAACCTCACCCATGTGCAGACACAAACACCCCTTAATTAGCTCACTCGTCTCTTCGCTAGAACTCATCTACCTGTTACTATGAGACTCTATGAATCATGTGACCTTCTGAGTCCTATTAATGACCAAAATATTGCATTCCTTATGTAGGTCGTAAAAGATGATCCTGAATTTATATTGATTGAATTGTGTATTACAAACTAGAAGTCTCTTTCACACAGAAGAAGAGAAAATTGATCTGATCTCTTTTTTGTTTAACGCGGGATCTTTGGGTCGAAATGATGCCTCACTCGATGCTTGAGTCGAGTTTGCTTCATGTTGATGATTCGAACAAGATTGTGAACAAACTTCCTCGTGTGGTAGAAGTTTTGTAAGAGTTTGAGTACCCAAGCTAAATACTTGAAGGTCGAGTGCATAATTCTCTCAATCCTAGGTTCTCTCTTTTTTTTGTAGCCATTAGTGGTTATTTACAGAGGAGAATGGTATGTAACCATCTCACATTTTAAGCCTTAGTGGCTGACTTGGTCAAGCAGTGCAGGCGGACTTGACGCTACAGGCGAACTTGAACGTTCAGGCGAGCTTGGCAAGCTTGCAGGCGAGTTAGAGCATGCAAGCGAACCTTGTCGGCAAAGTTAAGTGTTCGGGCGAACCTAACTTTGTACGAGCCACCATGGCGGAGCTTGATCAGTCCAGGCGAACTTGAATCTTCATGAGTCATTCAGGTGAGGCCTAACTGACAAGCGAACTTGGTTTTGCCGACGAAGTTCGAGCATTAAGGCGAACTTGACTTCGTTCGGGCAAACTTGAATGTTCAGGCAAACTTTTAAGCTTCTTCGCTTGTTCCAAGTTAATTTGTCTTGCTTCACAACTCGTATATGTCCATATATTGATCAAAAGCTTTCTTTGTTAGGGATAGAGGCAATTTTACTTACCTACAAAACCATCTTCAAAGTTTTCAGATCTCAGTAGTGACTTAGAGCGGGGTCTGAAATTCTTTGAATATTTTGACTTACAAAATGATCACTATTCACCAATTTAGGCTAAGTGGGAAACTTTCCAACGAACTTGGCCATTCTGACGAAGTTGAGTTCTTTAGGTGAAGCTATTGGGTTCAGGCGAGCTAAATGTTCAGGCGTACTTAGAATTACAAGTGAACTAGGCAGCTACAGGCGAACCAAGCAGCTGTAGGCGGGCTTCAAAGTTCACCAGCCGAGGCAATGATGGCCTACAGATCACATTAAATGTGATGTGATTTGACCTCGTTGTGTTACACGCTCAATCTGAACTGTTACGTCGGTTGAGATTATATCTGAACTGTTTCTTTGAGAATTAATATTGATTGTTGATTTCAAAAAAATTGAATCTCAAACGTTGAATTGAACCGTCACATCGGTTGGAGATCAAATCTCAACAATTTATTTCTCCCACCTATATATAGGCTTGTTCTTCCTCAAGAAGAAGCCATTGTGATCTTGTTCTTTCGACCAGAAGAAGAAAATCTCACGCGATCTTTTTACTCTAACTTTCTCTATGGCGCCCAAGACTAGAGCCATTGTTGCTAAGGCCCCCGCTACTCCTCACGTCGCTCCGCCCTCCTTAGGTAAGCTCAAAAGACTTCGTCTTTTTGTGTTCTTTCATTGGTACAAAACCTTGGGGTTTGAAGAATATGAACAAGTGAAGTTCATTCTTCTAGCGATGTTTGTTTGTTATGGCGAACTTCGTTGTCTAGAGAAGTTCGTTAGTTCTTGCGAACTTCGTTTGTGCTGGCGAACTTCTTTGTCTAGCGAAGTTCGTTTGTTCTGGCGAACCTCACTGTTTGGTGAAGTTCATTTGTTCACGTAAACTTCGCTATCTGGCGAAGTCAATTCATTCAGGCGTACTTCCTTAGCGCGCTAGCATAGCAGAGTTCGCATGCATGGTCGAGTTTGTCTGTTTAGTAGGGTTGGTGAAAATTTTCACTTTGTCAAAGATTTATAATCTCTCTCGTATCCTTGTTTTGTAGTGGTTTACTCTGGAGCTGCTATCCCAAGGGTGAGTGCCATTGGCCATGATAGTGGGG